TCTAGTTTCTTATTTTCCTCTTCTGTGTATGTAAAGCTATTGTGAAGATCCAGTCCTTCATCACCCACAAGGTTCAAGAATACGGCTATCTTCTGTGCTTCTGGCTTATCCAGCAATCCTGTGGCTGTCAGGAATAACTCAAACTTTTGTGAAAATCTTTTCCAGTTTTCCGCTATATTTCCATCTAGGTTCAACGGTTCAGGAGGTCTACACAAATTCTCCATATTAGTCACAAAATATCATCAGAAAACGTGTAAAACTCGTAGACTATTTAGCCCGAATAAACACCTGACACCATGTAATATCCTGGTAAACCTGCCAGGGTATAAGGATGAATAAATAAGAATGTTTTATTCCAGGTCTTTTATTGTGATACTTTATAATCTGACACCCACATGTTGACTGCACCAACATGACAGGTGAAGAGGTGAAGTCACCACGAGGCTGCTGTCATGTTGGTTGCCTAACAATGGCACCACATATATTACAGGTATATTATAATTTTTTTGGATTATGCACAAAATTCCCAGAAATTTGATATATTGCATGTTATAGTTTTAATTAACTTATTTTAGGATACAGGGTGGTTAGTGAATATATCACTCTCTGCGTGTCTCCTTATGACTTTAAAAGGTTCTATACCTAATTTCAATAAAGAAGAGTGAGTTCAATTTCGTATCTCAACTTGTTTTTAATAATCTATATCGTTCTCATATAGGTACACTTCATCTAATTTATATAACGATGCACGTCATCGGCGTCATAGCCTGTGACGTTACATGATACCAACACAAAATATTTAGGGTGTAGGTGTGTTCTTTCTTAGAATCACTTTACCGAGTACACTGGCATTACAGCCACTAGACATATTTTATTATATACGCGTTGAAATAATATTTAAAAATTTCTATTAATGTTAACTTAAAGAAATACACAATAATATGTTTCATTTAATTTGTATAAATCCATTATAAAGAGTTTTTATCAAGAACATTTGTTCCGAACAACTGTAATCGAACGAAGGTAAAATTTTGGCATAAATTGGTAACACTTATTTGACAGTTGCGGTGTTGACACTTTTTTATTATTTTAAATTTTAAAGTGAATACCTCTTGTTTTATATTTTTACCTATTTAATAAAATCTGTTCTTTTTAGAACAAAATTAGTGTGTTTTATTTCAAAAATGTCACGTAAGAATTTAAATAGTCGTTGTAAAGAGATGGTAATACTTTTGCAATAATTATGTGACCTATTTGATTTAAAATGGAGTCAGGATTTTTTTTATACTTTGGCAACTATGTCAACTTCGATTTCTGACGTAGATAATGACGTAAGTCGTTATCTAAATTAGATGAAGTATATATATATATATATATATATATATATATATATATATATATATATATATATATATATATATATATATATATACAGTGTAGGAAAAATTTTATGGTCGGTATGGACCTTACGTGAGATGGAGTGAGAAACAGCTGTTTAAAAAGAGAGAGGTATATTAGGTACGCCCTTTATATCGCCGAATGGAAATATTAAAAAAGGGGAAATTCAACGTTGCCAAACTTATTGGTTTTATTTGACCTGTTGTCTTTTTTTGCATTTGAACAATGTTCTATCAAGAAGATAAAATGCTCAAGATAATCAAATTTGGGCGAAATTGATTTAAATGGCAGGTTACTGTTTTTTTTATTGGGAATATGCCACAAGTTTTCTTTACAATAATTGTAATATAACATTTTGATTTCCATTTCGGAAATCGTTTTATATAAATAAAATTTATTAATGTTTCGTATTTTAAGTACGATTTCCGAACTAAAAATCTAAACATCAAAATAATTTCCCAATATGAAATAATAAACAATTAAACATGCATACAATAACGCCAAATTAAAAAATATTCATACACTAATTTATTTGGCAACGTCTAGTCTAGATAGTCGTCTGGTCAAACGATCGAGTAACGAGAAGTAGAGGTGGGTCGTGATGGTTTATCATTAAGAGCGTAGGAGCAAAATTTCTGTTAAAATGTTATTTCTTTAAACGGCCGTAAAATTTGGGAAAGTTGAGAACAAATAATCCAGTGTTCTTTATTTAGATTAGGTTTAAGTCTAAGTCTGTATTATTTAATACCAATGTGGAACGGGTTGCCTCTTCTAACTCGGTCATTCTTTTTAACATGTAATAGGTGAAGTTCTACCTAGTTTCCACGTCTTGGATTGGCCGTTTGGGAACTGTGTTCTGTTGTAATTAATACTTTAAAAGCCTTTCTGAAGATAAGGTACTTTTTTGAAATGTGTTTTTTTGCAGAATTGTCGAAAAAAGGACTTTTTATTTTATCTATTTGTACACGACAGCATTTAAGTGCGTCCCCCACCAATAAATTTAATCATCATCATAAATCACAATCATCATAAAACAAAACATATTTAATAGCTTTGACCATATTTTAGGAATTATCAGTTACTGCAAAATTTACTTTTCGTTTTAGACCCGACTGATTAATAATTTCAGTAATCGCTGTTTTCTGGATTATGGTTTCCAGAAAAATGGCAGCAGCCTAATAAAAAAGTTTTGAATACTAAATTTTCGGTTAAATATTGTCCTGTTAATGCGAAGTAACTCTCAGTTACTCCAGATGTCCAGAGGTCAGTAGTAATACAGATATTTTCTACTTCTTTAACAACTTGCGATCTAATAATTTGCTCACTTTTGACATAACATTCCTGAAGTAATGAACCTGACAAAGTTTTTCTTGTTGGCGGTTTATATCCAGAAATCCACCCTGCAAACTTTTTAAAAGCTGGTTCTTTAACTATGGAAAACGGATGAAACGAAAAGTTTAGTAAATCTTGAAAATCAATCAGTCCAAGAAAAAGAAACTGATAAAGATGACTTAAGTCCATGGTGTATTTTTGATGAATTAATTGGACATGACTCATCTAAACATACACCTGTATCGAGAGGTATAAAAGAAGTCGACATGTAATTGTCTGATGATATATTACCCACAAACAATTTCGAACGGAGATTGGAACTGTCCATTACCGTGGTGAAAAAACCATCGCCATGTATATCGTAACTTAACCACTATATTCATAAAATGTTGTAGTATTGTAACAAAATCTTTTCCTTGTGAACACATGTTTAACATCTGGTATAATTTTAAATAAAAGAAGAACGCGATTAACAAGGAAAGTGGAAAAACTTATGTTTTTAAATGTCAATTTAGACGATTCGCGATTTAATAATGTGTAATGTAAATGTAACTATTTAAGTACCATTTGTATTATTTAATTTATTTTTCAAGTTACAATAAATATATCCTTCGTTAGGTTCTTTTATTTCAATACTTATACACATAAACGATAATAGCTAATATGTTTGTGTACTCGCTAATTTGAATACTGGTAAACAATCAACTAGTTACAGTTTACGAAAAACGGTTCCGATAAAAATTAAAAAAACGAGAAGACCCACCTCTAGTTTTTTAGGTATATTAGGATCGGAACCAGAGAATATCTGATCGGAACTAATCGTCTCACTAATGGGCAATGGCCAATGAGTGTTAAAAGGATTTTAGGAGGGGAGACGAAGGGGAAATATGATTGTTATCTTTGTCTAATTCGTTGAAAATATAATTTTATATCTGCGTTAGATATCCTGTTAAATTTTACCATACCGACCTTAAAATTTTACCTACACTGTATATATATATATATATATATATATATATATATATATATATATAATATATATATATATATATATATATATATATATATATAAGAGTAAGAAAAAAGAAGTACTTGTGAAAAATATAACACTGTTTTTGATGGGTTGGAGTCAATAAAAGGGGATATTTGTTGACTATTTTTTACTCGAGCTTTCAATTGTGTTTACAATTTTTATCAAGAGCTTCTAAAAAATACAAAATGTCTTACAAAGTTGAACTAGAAATAAAAAATTTTTTGTTAACCAAATAAAATTAGTTTTTTATATAAAACTACTGCTTACATAATAAATACAAAAAATATTAATAAAAAAATGTCTTATTCTAATAAATGTTTCTCTGAAAAATTTTAGATGAAGTTTCTTAAGAAAAAAAAATTGAATTTATAAACAAAAATAGAATAGCTACAACCAGCCTAAAATGTCATAAATACTAACTTAAAAATTTTTATTTTTGACATATTGTCAAAAATAAAAAAGAAAAAATAAATACTAAATATAAAAAAAAAACAAATAAAAAAAAATACATACTAAACAAAGAAGAATTTTTTAAACAAAATTTTATTTCGGTTATTCGGTGACCTTACTACACATCAGCAGTTGCCAGATTACAAAAGATGTTTGCAATTAATCTCGAACGAGACAAATATCTACTCGTTATTACTTCATATAAATTGAAAATTACAGAATTTATAAAATAGTATAATCAAAATGTACTTTTTAAAAGCTTTATCTCTTTATATTTTTGAAGCATACAAAATGTGCATTATAAAAACATGCCAACACTGGAAACCGAAATAGTTGTGACATTTGCGGCTATGTTCAGTCATCTTGTACTTTCATCTCGATCCATGATACTATGACTATAAGATAAAATATTGCGCTTGTTTTTGTGACGTCATTGGAGACTTGCACGTTCGAAATGTCAGTTTTTGTATATATCAATAAATAATCTTTAATAAATAGTTTGGAGATATCCTTATGTGTACGATTATTGTAATTATTAAACCTCGTAACTTCTAGTCTTCAATGACGGCATGCGCGAACCCGACCGATTTTGAGCTACGGGAAGATCCTATCTTGTTATTCATAGTATCATGTCTCGATCAATCTCGATCTCGATGGCAGTAAGTAGTAAGTAAACTCATGGTAAACTCAACCCAACTATAGACTATATATATTTAATCTATGACCCAACATTTGTATAAAGTGATTTTTTGTGTGTAATTAAAACTGAAAAATCAAATTTAATAAAATGGAAATGAAACAAGAAGCTACTGAGAAAACTTGTAAAACAGATAATGAGACGTCTGATGGCCCTTTGGATTTGGATGGCTTCAAAATTAAAATTAAGGAAGAACTTAAGACTGAAAGTGCATATGACGCGTTTGATTATTTAGACTCAAATGTGTTCTCAGTAAAAGCTGAAGTAGAACAAGATGAACATAAATTTACACCATTTGAAGAAACGCAAACAACAAATGAAGAAAGTAAGTAAATATTAATTATTACAATAATATGATTAAGTTGAAGTGCATTATTACCTTAGGTTACAGAGTACATTTTGGGAATACATAAACATAGTGGAGAAGAACTTCACAAGTGTGAAACTTGTTTGAAGCAGTTTGTTACTTTAACCCTTTAATGGGCAGAACTATTTTTTTTTTGTAAAAATATACTTTTGAATAGTAAAAGTAATTCATTATGCATCATTAAAAAGACAAACATGTTTAAAAAAATATTTTCTTTGTCGAGGGTGGAAGGGGTGGTAAATATAGCTACCAGTGAGCATTTTGACAAACAACTAATACTTATTGGGCACTGGTATATATAGCTACAAGTAAAAAAATTAGAAATATTAAAAAAAAACTTTATTTTGAAGATATAAAAAAACTAAATAAAATAATGTTTTAAATTTATTATCTAAGAACTTTCTATCTACTATGGTAGGATGCAAAACAGTCTTTGCATAGAGCAATGTTACAAACTTGACAAATCAAATTGCTGCGTGTTTGTTTCTTTTTAGATGAAGCACAAAGGGCACAGCGTTTTGATGGGTAAGTGTGAACCAGCATTCAAAGTTGAGTTTGATGGAGGTCAAGACTTTTTTCTGATAGTAAAAGTGCTAATCAAATTATCTGCTTCTTCACTGCAGAACTGTAATGCAGTCATAGGCTTAGCACTTGGGTTATTTTTTTTAGTCTCCTTATATAAAATATAGCTGTTTACTACTGATGCATCTAAAAGGTAGTAAAATATTTTTACCCACCAACATCTTGATTTTCATGCTACCGAGTAGTTAGCATGATATTGATCAAATAGTTCTACTCCACCCATGTATTTGTTATAATCGGCTATTGTTTGAGGACATGGTACTTGATCTTTGTTGCCAGTTTTATTTGTTCTCAAAACCTGAGATTTTTCTTGAAAATTATGTAGATTGCTGACAACACTAACACATTTTACGCCTCTATCTTTCCACTTATACACAGATATTTCTTCAGAACTAACCGAATCTGCCTGATTTTGGGAAAGCTCTTTATCAACACATAATATTTTTTTTGGAAAATATTTTCTTGTTTGCCTTATAGTGCCACAAGCAAAAGTTTTCTTTTCCAGTAGTTTCTGCATCAGTGGTATTATAGTGAAAAAATTATCAAAGTATACGCAATAATCACGATTTTGATATGTTGATGTAAGTTCTAAAACAACTCATTCTCCTAACATATCAGACTGTTTCACATATTCAGTGGCTTTTCCTTTATATATTTGAAAATTTAGAAGGTATCCCGGTTTAGCACATGCTAATGACCAAATTTTAAAGCCTCTTTTTATTGGTTTTATTGGCATGTACTGTTTTAGTGATGTACCTGTGGTCTAAGATGTATGGTTTATGAGTGGTCTAAGTTTATAGAGCCTATCAAACTCTTTACTTTTCGGTTGGGGCATATTTTCAGTATTGTTTAGATGCAACAATCTCAAGACTTTCAGGAACCTGTTTAATGTAAATATTTAAGCCACACATTCAACATGGAAGTTCTCATTCCTGTACCAGTATGACCTTAGTGTTGGAAGGCTGTGGAACCCCATGACTATAAGTATTCCCAAGAAAGCGCCAAGTTCTTAAATGTCCATAGAAAGTTGCGAATTCTTCTGGGTAGCATAGAGGTTCGATTCTTTGCAAATTATTTGACAGATACTCTCACTAAAGAAAACTCTGAAGAAGTCGATTGGCTTACTTGAATTAATGTCAACATTGATGCTTGAAGACTCAGTAAAACTAAATGATTTGTAAAGGAGATTGGGGATGTTTTACTTGGACCATACAAAAGATTGATTTAAAGGAGCAGCCTTGAAGGAGAAATAACCTAGCCAACTTGTGTTTGAAACCAAAATCATCATCTGGATAAAAGTCATGATCTTGATCTGAATCATCAGAATCTTCGTTTTCCGCTAGAATGATTTGTCTTTTATGTAAGATTACATTGGCGCACCCTTTTCAAGTTCTGTACAGAAGCACTGGAACATGACAGTTGGCTGTCGATACTAGTAGTTGAGGATTGTATAAGAATTCTAATTATTGTTAATCGTTATGTTATCAGTCATATCCAAATTCCACATTTTATTTTCTTCCTTGTGAGCATGACTAACAGCATTTTTCCAATTTTCTGGAGTTACTTTTGATAAGGAATGTTCTAATAATTGTTGTAAGTCTTCTAATTTAAAAGTTTTGTTGTTGCGTCCGACTTCACCCTTTACTTGAGACCATATATTTTCTACTGGATTCAGATCACAGTGGTATGGGGGTTAACGTAAAATAATTATATCACGGCTTAATGCCATTTCATCAATTATATATTTTTTATAAGCTGCTTTATGTTGCCTTACAATAGGTAATAATTCCTTTTTTGTCGAATTCTCCTTGTACTCAATTGCGTATTTATCCAACCATTCGATTATCTCTCTTTTTTTCCATGCCGTTGTTGGCAATTTTTTTGCTAGTCTTGAATGGTAACTAGTATTATCCATGACTATGACAGAATTTTTTGGAATTAAATCCAACATTTGCTCAAAATATTCTTCGAAAACGTCAGCAGTCATTTCCTTGTGGTAATCTTTGGTTGATTTTGAGGCAAAACTTAATAATCCTCCATTGACAAAACCGTATTTGTTTCCAATATGGGTTATTATGAATCTGCGTCCTTTTCCAACGGGAATATTGTTTATTCCAGAAGATACACCTTCGATGAATGCCTGATGGGAACTTTTCACGTTTGTATCAACCCATAGATATGATACAGTATGACCTTCATTTAGCCAAGTCTCGTCCAAATAAAAAATTGTTTTCCCTTCTTCTCGGTACTTTTTAATAGTTCTTAAATAATCCCGTCTCCAACATACAATGTAATCTTTTTCAATTAAAACGGATTTTCTTCTATTCTTTTGCCAACAAAATCCCATCTCTCTCAGTCCCCATAATTTCTTGTTGCTTATGATTGGTAACTCTTCATTTTCTCTAATTAATTAAACTTGCAATTAAAAATATTATATATAATATGTATAAAGAAAAAGAACATGTAACAGTTAGTTCTGTGTTGCAAAAAATAACAGACAAGGAACTGTGTGATATTAGTTTAACAAGTTTGTGGAGAGTGTTGAAACATTTAGGTTTTCTATATAAAAAGACAAATAATAGACAAGTATTGTGTGAACTCTCTAATGTTGTTTCAAAACGGTGGCATTTTCTAAGAAAATACATGAACAATAAAATGTCTGATAGTCCGAGGCAAGTTGTATTTTTAGACGAAACTTGGATTTTCGCTAAAGGAAATATGTCAAAATCATCTTAGCAAGATGGCACCACGAAATGCTATTCTTCTAGTCGTTCCGGTAATGGTAAACGCTACATTATACTTCATGCTGGAAACGATGAGAGTTTTATTCCTGACGCTAGTTTAATTTTTTCGTCCCCAAAGAATAAAGGTGATTACCATGGAAATATGGATGCAAATATTTTTGAAGAATGGTTTGAAGAAAATTTGTTAAAAAAATTGGAGCGACCATCCATAATAGTCTTAGATAATGCATCCTACCACTCAAGAGTAGAAGGGAGATTTCCTTCAAATAGCTGGACAAAAGAAGAACTAAGGTTGTGGTTGACAGAAAAGAAAATTTATCACAGTGACATATTTTTAAAAGTCGATTTACTTCAAAGGTATGGAGAGCACAAAATTCAAAAGAACTTGGTTACTGACCAAATAGCTCTTAAATATGGCCATGAAGTTCTTCGACTTCCGCCCTACCATTGCCACTATAATGCAATTGAGTTAGTTTCGGGTATAGCCAAAAATTATTATGATAAACATGCATCCAAAACAAAATATGACGCTAGCGTTCTTGGTTTATGGAAAGAATCGCTAGAACAAATAAACGCAGAACAATGGCAAAATTGTATTGAGACATACGGAAGACATAATCGTTCAGTCTTTTCAAACCGAGCGGGTTATAGATGAGGTCCGGCCTCTAATTATTCGGATAGACAATTCAGATAGTGACGACTCTGCTAGTGAAATATCAGACAGTGAATAGGATAAATCTTTTGCTAAAAAGAAGAAACAAAAAAGTGTTTCGGGAATTCAATTCAAACTTTGTGGTGTGTTTTAGTTAAATGATAAAGTACCTTCGGTCTAATTACTGGAATGCATACTCTCAATAGCTTTGGTATTAATTACTGGACCACACGTGTTTAAACATTTTGTTTTGCTGAAAACTCGAAAGTGATTTAGTGCCAATTTGTTTCAAGGTTATATTTAATACAGTGTCTGCAGAAAGTAAAGTCTTGGATGTATTTTATTCAAATTTTCATATACCAGCAACTTGGCAAGTATTTTCCAATTTAACTGCATGCAAAACCATTCATATAATTTTTACTCTACGCCAAATAGAGACTTATAGAGACCTTGATGAACATTTGATGTCGACAAATAATTTCAATTATTCGAAATAATCCATCCCACTTCTTTTAAGCGGCCTGTATATACATATTATATTTATTTTATTTGCCTTTGATACAGTAAAATCCAATATTATTACTGAACATAAAATACAGGAAATTAAATATTTTTTCATTTCAAGCGATCGAAATTAAATATTAAGTAACGCACCACTGTTTGAGGCCCACTGATTATATCTTAATTATATATCGGACTTCATAGGCTAAAAGAAGTTTACTCGTATGTTGGTGTCATAAATGCCGACAAAAAATTACATTATTAAATAACGAAACCTATTGTTTATTATATAAAATATTGGAGCTGTTGCTTGATAGTCAAAATTCTGGTCAGCAAAACATTGTATGTCTTTTTAACAAAGGAGTTTGATATTTCAACTTTAAACTACTGCGGCTGATTGTTATTATTTAGGCTGTTGGTATAATATTTTAAAGCACAATATCACAATTGTTTTAAAGCAAAATATTACAATGTATTGTTTCTGTGTACTTCTGTGTTTTGTTACTATTTCGGAGGGATAGACGTTTATTGCAAAATGACCAACTTATATTTTATATATTTTGCAAAAACCGTCTAAGCCGCTTTAAGTTATTTTTGTAATAAACTGTTTTTACTTATTTTGATTTTGTACGTT